CCAGTGGTAGTGTCAGCATGCTCGGAAGTCCATTTCGGCGTACCTCCAACTTGCATCGTGGCCCATTGTGGAGCTCTACAAACGGATTCCGTGCGTGCATGTAAGGGGGGGGGGGCCGCCGAATTCGGCACAACCCTCGCGCGGATCGCGCCCCTCAGGGAATTCAGCGAATCTGTACGAGTTTGATCCGCCACCCCGTCGTCGTCGTCGTCGTCGTCGTCGTAGTCGCAGTCGCAGTCGTAGTCGTAGTCGTAGTCGTAGTCGTAGTCGTAGTCGTAGTCGTAGTAGTAGTAGTAGTAGTAGTAGTAGTAGTAGTAGTAGTAGTAGTAGTAGTAGTAGTAGTAGTAGTAGTAGTAGTAGTAGTCGTAGTAGTAGTAGTAGTAGTAGTAGTAGTAGTAGTAGTAGTAGTAGTAGTAGTAGTAGTAGTAGTAGTAGTAGTAGTAGTAGTAGTAGTAGTAGTAGTAGTAGTAGTAGTAGTAGTAGTAGTAGTAGTAGTAGTAGTAGTAGTAGTAGTAGTAGTCGTAGTAGTAGTAGTAGTAGTAGTAGTAGTAGTAGTAGTAGTAGTAGTAGTAGTAGTAGTAGTAGTAGTAGTAGTAGTAGTAGTAGTAATGGTAGTAGTAGTAGTAGTAGTAGGAGTAGGAGTAGGAGTAGGAGAAGGAGTAGGAGTAGGAGTCAAGCTAGCCAGCTCGAGCGAGTCAAGCATGGCATGCCCAGTCCCACCCGCCCTCCCACAACATAAGAAGCAAAGCTGGCACAACTGGGGGCCGAAGTCACACCGGCCAGCCGGTTTGGTACAGCTGATGCGGCCGCGATGGCGGTTGCCGACGGGAACTGGCGAGCGCGTGTTGAATGCCGCGCACGCATTGCCAGACGAGTCGAGAATGGCCCGGTACACCGCAGGAAGCCAGAGGTGGCCGGAGGAAGCCCGACGGTCTGACAGGACACCCCAAAGCATTTTTGTGAAAAAGCATTGGGTTTTTGATGTTTTTATGTTGAAATGCTTGCAAAAACACGGTATTCGGTAGGATTCTGACATGAACGCGCGAGTGTGCTCTTTGTGGTATTTTTTGCACAGGATTCGCGGCCTGGGTGCATGACAGAGCATCGCGAGTGCACCGCGCGATGACGTGAAATCGCTGGATTTGACCGAATTCTTAAGATTCCTATGGTTTTCCTATGATTTCAGCAAGAGAGCCCGGGCGGGAAATTTGTACAATTTTTGTGAAAAAGCATTGGGTTTTTGATGTTTTTATGTTGAAATGCTTGCAAACACACGGTGTTCGGTAGGATTCTGACATGAACGCGCGCGTGTGCTCTTTGTGGTATTTTTTGCAATGGATTATCGCCGTGGACGACAGGACGTCCATGTCGAGAGGAAAAAATAAGAAAAATGTTGATTTTGTATTGTTTTTTACAGGTTAGGATGGGACCACCCGGATGCGCCCGCTATCTGCCGGCCTGAGGGGGGAGTAGGAGTATATTCTAATAAGGAATAAGGATAGGAGTAGGAGTAGTAGTAGTAGTAGTAGTAGTAGTAGTAGTAGTAGTAGTAGTAGTAGTAGTAGTAGTAGTAGTAGTAGTAGTAGTAGTAGTAGTAGTAGTAGTAGTAGTAGTAGTAGTAGTAGTAGTAGTAGTAGTAGTAGTAGTAGTAGTAGTAGTAGTAGTACGAGTAATAATGGTAGTAGTAGTAGTCGTCGTCGTTGTAGTAGTAGTAGCAGTAGTAGTAGTAGTAGTAGTAGTAGCAGTAGTCGTTGTAGTAGTGGTCGTAGTAGCTAGTAGTAGTCGTAGTAGTAGAAGCAGAAGAGGTAGTAGTAGTGGCAGTAGTAGGCAGTAGTAGCAGTAGTAATACTAGTAACACTAGTAGTAGTAGTAGTAGTAGTAGTAGTAGTAGTAGTAGTAGCAGTAGTAGTAGTAGTAGTAGTAGTAGTAGTAGTAGAGTAGTTGTAGTAGCTGTAGTAGTAGTAGTAGCAGCAGCAGTAGTAATCGTCGAATTAGTAGTGGTCTTGGTGGTCGTGGTAGTAGTGCTCAACGTAGGAGTCCAAGCAATAGTCGGAGTAGTAGCAGCAATAGCAGTTGCTCTGGGTACCGCAGTAGCGTGCAAGCGCCACGGCATTCTCCAAGGCATGGGTGACAGCCGCACAGCATGCCTTTGAACACCGCGCCATATTTGTTGGGGGGGGGGCAGGCCCACCTCCCCCCGCGAACGTCAATAACTGTTACAAAGGGGGGAGGGGGGGCGACCCCACGTAACGGACGTTACGGGTCCACCGAATGAAAACAAACTCGTATGAAAAGAGGGCCACATCTGGCCCTACACACGGCCGCAGAAGGCTTGGCCCATCGCCATGTAGATTCTTGTAATGAAGGGGGGCGAGGTTAGTGGATGTTCAGGTTGAATGTTTAGGAAAGCTGATCCGAGAGGACTGGGAGGCGTGGGAAGTTGTATGATCGGAGGATCTTCAAGGATCTACAACGACTGCCGACATTGAACTGTGCCAATACTGCGATCAGCGACTTCTGCTCACGAGAGCTGGCGGCCTGGCGACAGAATCCTGTGGCTTCGCAAAAAGGCCCGGGCCTTGGGCGCACACAGAAAGCGCGACTCGCGCGTTCAGCTACTGTCGCATGAACAAGCCAACGAAGACATTCAAGTGGTGCATGTCATGGATAACTCGGAATTTGAACCGACCGTGCCGTGTTGAGGCAGCGTCCTCCGCTTACCCCTCTGCCTCCCCCCTCTTTGCCGCATCCTCTCCCTCCCGTCGTTGCCGCCGTCCCCGTCGCAGTCGTCACCGTCCTTGTGGCCATCCTCCGCGCCTCCTCCATATCCCTCTCCCCCGACCTGCACCTCCCCGCAAGCCAGGTCGCGGCCCAAGGCCGAGCTGGCGCGGTGGAGAGTGCCGCCGCACCCTGGGAATGGCCTCCTCTGGCCTCTTCAAAACGCCGCAATTACTTTCGGGGTGGTACCAGGATTGGTGCGAACGGGCGGGACCGCATCCCCCCTGCGCATCGTTGGGGACTGCCTGGGACGTGCGGCCACAGGGAGGACGTTCCAACTGCAGTTGTCCCTTATTCTCCGGGGGTGTCCCTTCCACCAGGTTTGAGAGGTGGGCTCACCTGTCTTGCCTGCAGGATGGGTGGCTGGAGGGGTGATTCAAGAAGGGTCAATTCCACAGGGGTCGCTCGGACCAGTTTGCCTCGTGACGATGCAATGCTCGACCCCCGCTGTGCCCCAGCCATCCCTGAGTGGGAGGTGCCCCCAGAGAAGGGGGGCTGTGCCCGCGGCCTCACACAGAGCCTGCCCAGGACACCAACCAACAATCATTGTTTCCGCTCCTCAGTCTCGTTCTTCCCTCCTCCCTGGCCTCCTGGACAGAGGCGGTGCGGGAGGCCACGGAAGACCAGGGCTGCGGGACGCTGGCAGACCGCTTGGAACGGCTACCGCGGGCGGCTCAGCAGCTGGCAGCGGCGAGGCGCAGACTGCAAGCCCAAGGGCTGGAGCTCGCCGCGGGCGGGGACCCGGCGACCGCGTTGCAGAAGCCCCTGAAGCAAGGCCTGGCCACGCAGACGGTGCAAAGGAGACACCGCGCAGCTTTGTTGCGACGCTTGCACCTTCCTCAACCCTGGCCAGCGGAGTTTTCCTCGCTTACCCTGAAGACGCTCTTTGCACGCTGATGGACGCCCTCTGGCAGACTGACGCGCGGAGACGGCTGCAGCTCCCGCGCGCGGAGCTCTACCAGCAGGAGCTGGCGACGGCGGGAGCCGCCTGCTGCTTGCGCGGCGCCACCTGAGCTGGCTGCGCCGGAGCCCTGGACGAGCAGTGCTACAGTGCTACCACGCCCTCACTTGCCACCTTGGCGGGGGCGTGGGGCCGCGCCACGGGGGAGTCAACTGGAGTCGGCGGCCTCGTCCTGCGCTGGCGCGGCGAGAAGCCCCTCTTCGAGCAGAGGATGCCGACCTGGGACCGCCACCACCCAGACGGCCGCCTCGAAAGCGCAGTCCTGGACCTGGAATGCCAGGACGACAACGGCCGGCGCTGGCTCGACGTCTCCGCGCACCACCCCGCAGCCAGGACCCAAGCTGAGCTGCGGGTGGCCGCGCAGCGGGCCGGGGAGGCCAGCCGCCGCGGGGAGCGAGACAACGCTACCCCGGCGCCAGGCTGACGCCCCTCGTCCTCGAGACGGGAGGGCGGCTCTGCGCCGAGGCCCGCCTCTGGCAGCTGGGGCAGGTGCGCCTGCAGCTCGGGGACCAGCAGCCGCGGGAGCTCGCGAGGGCCTGGTCATGGATGCGGCTGGCCTGCGCCAGGCGGAGCCGCGCGGCTAGCGGCCCGCGGCCGCCGCAGCGTGCACTGGCGACGCCGGCAACGCGCCGCTTGCCGGACGCCCCAGACGACGGCGGACGGATGGCGCCGCCCGTTGGCCAGGTCTGGCTGCTGCCAGCCGGCAGGGCGCTGGCTTTCAGCGCTGGAACTGCTAGCGGGACTGGGCGTCGGCAGGCGGCTGGCGCTGGCGCTGGGCGCACGGACAACTGATACATACGTCTTCCTCGCCGTAGCCCTGGCGCTCCCGGGCAGCGCTGCTAAAGGCCACGGCTGGCACAACCCCTCCCTCTGAGAGCGACCGCCGTTCAGGCCCAGAAAGAGCGGCGGTTGCTGCCAGGGGGGGGGGGGGGGGGGGCACGGGCTCCCAGCCAAGCTTCGCTCGGACGTACTCCCCTCCTCCCTCCTCCTTCCCTCCTCCCTCCCTCTTCCCTCCACCTCTCGATGTTTGCTCCTCCCTTGTTCCCCGTCCCTATTCGATATTCCATAAGATTCTTTCCTCCCTCTCTCCCCTCTTCCTCGTTCCCTCATCAATGTGCGAAATTCCCTCCTAGCAGTTCGCTCCTCTCTCCTGCCGTCCTTCCCCTCACCCTCAATGTTCTCTACTCTGTCCTCCATCTTCCATCCTCCCTCCTTCGTCCCGCCGTCCATCCTTCCCTCCTCGTTCGTCTGGCACGCCTGGTGCTGACATGGTCTAGACAGAGAGGGTGATGACGCTGAAGACCACGTTTTGAATGGCGAATGCGTGGCTCTGGACAGCGATCGCAACTGGCAGCGACCACCACCAGTGCTCTGAACAGCGCAGCTCCACCAAAAAAGAAAAAAAAGGAAGACGACCCTGCGAACACATGCAAGCTACACCAGCGGAAAATGTGACTGGAAGATGCATAATATACTGTTCCTGCTCGCTGTCACCAAAACAGGGTATCTGGGTTCATCCCCAATTGTTTAGCCGACCACCGCCAGTGCTCGCGCTCGCTCGTCACCCCGTGGCCACAGTTCGGACCAAAACTGCTGAACAGGTGGGACGTGCCCCAGGAGAACGTCTGGTATGCGTTCGCCTGCAAATTTACGTAGGCCCAGTATGGGGTTCCGTCGGCCGCTATTGGCACATGCTCCGTCCGCCACTTTGACATTGCGGCGTCGGCGTACCACCAGAACAACTCACGCGGAAAGAAGTACGTGCTGACCAGGTCTGGCTCCGGCGACACAGAAGCAAACGTCGCCATGACGAGGTGCCAGCCTCGGGGAACACTTGGCCACACGGAGTGCGAGGGCGGCCCAGAAGAACCCACACAGACACCCCCCACCCCAGGCCAGGAAGCCATATCACCATCTACTGGGCACTCGCCATTTTTAGACTCCCTGCCATCCTCTTCCCTCCTCCCGCTCCTCTGATCTCCTTTTGCCACCCGTTTATCTCTCTCACTCTCTCTGTCTCTATCTCTCGCGGTTCGGTCGGTGCTCGTCCGTGGACGCCTCGTGGGCGCCTCGTGCGTTCGCTCGGTTTTCGCCACCCTCGTGGGTGCCTCGTGTCCTGGCTGGCGTTTCCAAATGCACACGTCCGCCAACGTGCCTGCACGGAGTGGGCGGGTTAGAATCTGGGCACGCATGGGAACGGAAAGAGCGCTCGAGGAACTCGCCCGAGAAGGCTCATGGCACCGTTCGCTCTTGGGGGCCTTGGCGTCTAGACCTTTTTCACGTCACCGATCGCTCTTGGGAGCCCTGGTGTGAAGAGTTGTGCACGTAACCGGTCGCTCTTGGTGGCCTTGGCGTTATGGGCGATTCACGTCATCATTCGCTCTTGGGAGCCTTGGTGTGGTGTTGAGAGCTGCTTACATAACCGTTCGCCCTTGGGAGCCCTGGCGTTGAGAGCTTCCAACGTCACCATTCGCTCTTGGGAGCTTGGGGTGAAGACTTGTGTACGTCACCGCGCACTGTTTGGAGCCTTGGCATGCGGAGCTGTTTACGGAACCGTTCGCTCTTGGGAGCCTTGGCGTTAAGAGCTGTTTACGTCACCGCTTGCTCTGGGGAGCCTGGGTAGTCAGATTTGTTTGGCCCACTGCTCGCTCTCCAGACCCTTGGCGCTCAAAGATGTTTCCGTCACCGACTCGTGTGCAAAGGGCTTTCTGGTCACCTGGTGTGCTGCGTCAAAGCTGCGTTCATTATTGGGCCGTCTGGGTAGGGTCCTCTGGGGGCTCTTTCTGGTGTCTCAGGGCTCTCTTGGGCCGTGCTGGGAACCTCTTAGGCCGTCTCGGGCGGCTTGGCCCGTCTTGGGGCCCTCTTGGGGTCCTCTTTGACCATCTTGTGGGCCTCCGACGGCACTCTTGGGACTCGCTTGGGGGCCTCTTGAGGTCCACTTGGGCCCTTCTTAAACCGCATTGCAGCTTTTTGTGGCCGTCCTGGGGCCCTCTTGGGAGCCTCCTCGGTCGTCTTGCGACAGCCGCGGGGGCCCTCAGAGCTGTCTTCGGCCGATCTGGGCCCGAAAAGGCGAGAACTCCAAGTAAAATCAAGGTTTTGGGCCTCCTCAGGCCGCCTCGGGGGTCCTCTTCGGAGACTTGTGAGCCGTCCTCGGAGCCTCTTGGGCCGTCTTGGGGGGGTTCAATCGGACTGGGGCCCTCGTTGGGCTCTCTTGGGTCCTCTTTGGGGCCTCCTGTGAAACCCTTGGGCTTTCCTGGGAACCTCTGGGGGGGCCCTCTTCGGACCCTCTTGGGGCTCTCTGTGGCCGTCCTGGGGGCCTCTGGGGCCATCTTGGGACCCCCTTGGGAGCCTCCTCGGCCGTCTTGCGGCAGCCTCGGGGGCCCGCAGAGCCGGCCAATCTGGGCCCGAAGAAGCGAACACACAAGAAACAATGGAAAACCTATGGGAAATCAATGTTGCGAGGCTGCCTGGGGGGTCCTCTGGGGAGGTTCTTGGGCCGTCTCGGGCGCCCCTTCGACTGTGTTTGAAAGCTAGGGCAGTCTTCGGGCCCTCTCGGGCCCCTCTTTGGCCCTCGTTTGGGCCTCCCATGGCCCTCTGGGCGGCTCCTTGGCCGTGTTGGGGCTCTCTTGGGAATATTTGGACCCTCTCGGGGGGCTCTGGGGTCATCTTGGGGCGTTCTTAGGGGCCTCTCGGGCCGTCTTGGCCGTTCTTCGCTCGAAAAAGCGAGAATCGTAAAAACCGTCAAAAGCCGAAGGAACATCAATATGATTGGCCTCCTCAAGCCCGCTTGAGACTTTTCTGGAGGGTATGCTAGCCCGTCTTGGGGCCCTCGTGGACTGTCTTAAGGCCATCTTCGACCAATTTTGAACTGTCTTGGGCGGCCGTAGGTCCTCTTAGAGCGCTCTCGGGCCGTCTTGGAGCCGTCTAAGACCCAGGGCCGTCTTGGGGGTATCGGAGGCCGTCTTGGGCGCCTCTTGGGCCGTCTTGGGGCCGGGCGGGCGCGTTACGCCCGCCTGGCCGCGCTTCGCCCATCGCCTGGAACCTCTCCCCAAAAGGCTTCGCCCCTCCAAACGTCATCGTTCGTCGTACCTGGCTCTTTCCGCCACCTGGGCCGGCACGGGAACGGAAAGAGCGCTACAGGAACTTGCCCGAGAGGACTCATGGCACCGTTCCTCTTGGGAGCCTTGGCGTTACGAGCTTGTTCACGTCACCATTCACTCTTGGGAGCCGTGGTGATAATAGCTTGTTACGTCGCCATTCGATGCTGGGAGCCTTGATGTGGAGAGTTTTCTACGTCACTGTTCGCTCTTGGGAGACTTGGAGTCAAGAGCAATTGACGTAACCGTTCGCTGTTGGGAGCCTCGGCCGTAAAAGCTGTTTGCGTCACCGCTTGTTTTGACGAGCCTTGGCAACAAGAGCTTTCTGCGCCACTGCTCGCTCTTGGGACCCTTGGCGTTCGTGCTTTTTACGTTAATTCGTGTGTAAAGAAAACCTTCCAGTCACCCGATGCTCTCGGGAGCCTTGGCGTCAGAGATGCGTCCATCATTGGGTCGTCCGGGGGCGGGGGTGGTCCTTGTCTGAGGGCCCGTTTGGGTGTCTTGGAGCCCTGTCGGGCCGTTCTGGGGCCCTCTTCGGCCGTCTTGGGGGCTTGGCTCGTCTTTGGGCCCTCTTGGAGCCAGATTCAGCCTATTAAGGGCCCACGGCACTGAGGGGGCTCTCTTGAGAGCCTTTTGGGGCCCTCTTGGCCCCCTCTTGAGCCGTCTTGTGACTCTCTGTGGCCGTCCTGGGGCCCTGGTGGAGCCCCCTTAGGAGCCTCCTGACTCGTCTTGGGGCAATCTCGAAGGGCCTCAGAGCCGTCTTCGGCCGACCTGGTCCCGAAAAACGAACACCCAAAAAACAATGAAACAATTGCATCAACACTATTCCTGTGCCTCGTCAAACCGCCCAGGAGAGTCCAAAGCAGCCCCCAAGAGGCCTCCAATCTGCCTGCACGAGGCCCCTGAGAGGCCTCCCACAAGATCCCAACGAACATCCAATAGGCTTCATACCAACAAGCCAGGCGCGGTGGGGGATGGGACGAAGGCCATTGGATCCGCCGCCCCGTGTCGATTCATCGCAAGGGTACATGGCGTGCTAGATCCTTTCGGTTTGGGTTTTGGTTCTCTTTCCAAAAGAACCCCCCCGGGGCTTCGGCCCGTCCCGCCGGCCACCCGGAAGACCTGGTTGCAAACGGTTTTCCTGCCCCAGACGGCCCCAAGATGGCCCAAGCTGGCTTCCAAGACGGCTAAGATGGTCCCAATATGCCTCCCACACGGCCCATGATGCACCCAAGACGGCCTAAGATAGCCTCAAGATGGCCTAAGACGGCCCAAGAGGCCTCCAAGAGGCCCCCAAGAGGCCTCCCAGACGCTCCAAGAGGTCCTCCAGGAGGGCCCGAAGAGGCATTTTCGGCCTTCCGACGGCTCAAGACGGCCCAAGAGGCCGCCGCGATCGCCCCAAGATCGCCCACGAGGCCTCCAAGATGGCCCCATGACGGCCCAAGAGGCCCCCAAGACGGCCTCAAGAGGGCCTCAAGACGGGCCAAGAGGCCTCCAAGACGCCCAAGATGGCCTCTGAGACGGCCCCAAAGCGCCCCAAGAGGGCCCCAAGTCGGCCCAGCGAAGCCCCCATGCCAGGAACCCACCAAGATGACCGAAATTGGCTCGAAGCTGGCCCAAGACGGCCCAAGACGCCTCCAAGAGGGCCTCCAGGAAGGCTAGAAAAAGGCCAAAAACACGTATTTCCCTTAGGTGTTTGAAGGATTGTGACATTTGCGTCTTTTCGGCCTTCCGACGGCCCGAGACGGCCCAGGAGGCCCCCGAGATCGCCCAAAGATCGCCCAAGAGGCCTCCAAGATGGCCCCAGAACGGCCCAAGAGGCCCCCAAGACGGCCCCAAGAAGCTCCCAAGACGGCCCAGGAGGCCATTAAGACGCCCAAGATGGCCTCCAAGACGGCCCTGGAGCATTCCAAGAGGGCCCCAAGTCGGCCCAGAGAGACCCCCCAAACGGCTTCCGACGGCGTCAGACGGGCCAGGAGCCCACCAAGCCGGCCGAAGATGGCCTTCAGATTGCCCGAGACGGCCCAAGAGGCTTCCAAGAGGGCCTCCAGAAAGGCCCGAAAAGGCCAAAATCATGGATTTCCCATGAGTTGTTGAAGGATTGTGGCGTTTGCTGTTTTTCGGCCTTCCGACGGCCCGAAACGGCCCACGTGCCCCCAAAGATCGCCCAAGACGGCCCCAAGAGGCCCCCAAGACGGCCCAAGAGGCCTCCAGAACGCTCAAGATGGCCTCCAAGACGCCCAAGAGCCCTCCAAGACGTCCTCCAAGAAGGTCCGAAAGGGTCAAAATGGCCTCCAGACGGCCAAAATTACCTTCAAAATGCCCACGTGTTCCCCAAAGGCTTTCCAAACCGATCCGGGGAACACATGGTCCGATAGCTTGACAGGTCTGGCCTCAACGTTCGGCCACATAGGCGCTTCCAAAAAGGCAGGGGGCGGCGGTGATTCGCCGTAGGCGTCTTCGATACAGATGTGCACATGCGTCTTGCCTCTTCGGATACCCGACCGCCAGTGTATGTGCGCCAGGCCGCCGAGCTTAACATGCTTGTCAGTATGTGCTACTTTGGCCAGTTTCAATAGACGCCACCTATTGTCCAACTGAATCTCGGTGGACTTGGCTGCGGTCGCCCAGATATCTCACTGTGCTCAAACCGCTTTATCCCCTTTCGGCGACTCGGCTGGCATCCCAAAACCTTGAGAACGCCGTCGTTGACCTCTCCTAGGAAGAGCAAGGGAAGACGGCTCCGACGCCACAACCATGGCGAAGAGGCACGAGGGTCCTTGTGGTCGCTGTTTTTCCAGCGTCCCGCCGGAGACATCTGAAGACCCCACTCGCTTTACTTCCCCCAGCCTCCGCAGGCCCTCCGCTGGCTTCTACCGAGGGCGAGTGCCAACCCGTAAGGTCGCTGAAGGGCAGCCCCTTTCTGGAACTGGCCACCTACTCCCTAGCCCATCGCTACGTGGGCCACCTGACTTGGAGCGTCGCGCCGCCTACGTTCGAGCCCTTGCGCTGCCATCTGAAAAATGGCACCTCGCCAACCCAGACCGCGGCGCGCGAAGCGCGACATTCTTTCGAGCCCCTGCGGACGACCTACGTAGATGTTCCCAGCCCTCCGACGACTCGATGTGTTTGAGTCGCCAGACCACGGGCCTCTCGAGCCCTTTCCCTGGGACCAGCTTACCGCCCTGAGTCGTTCACCAGCTTTTCTTCATGAGTTGTGCTTGACTGTCCTAGGGCACAGAGACAGCCTCCAGCCGCAGGAAGTGTCGAAAACCTCGAGTGCGGCTTGGTCAAGTCGCCAGAGGCCTGGAAGAAGGTCTCCGACATCTCCAGAGAATTGGCCCCTGGTGACCTCCGGAAGCCTCCAGGGATCCAAGAAGGAAGCCTCCAGAGGTCCCCGAAGGATGGGCGCCTGGCGATCCTCGATTATCCTCCCTCCTTCTCCTCCTCCTCCTCCTCCTCCTCCTTCTCCTCCTCCTCCTCCTCCTCCTCCTCTTCCTCCTCCCTCCCTCCCTCCCTCCCTCCCTCCCTCCCTCCCTCCTACTCCTCCCTCCTACATTTGACGTTATATTACCCCTACCCCTTGGAGGCGGTCATCCGAGCGCGGGCCAGCCTGCATCCTGCGGGGAAACGCTCCTCCAACCCAGGCCGTTCTTCATCACGCCCACGTTGTGATCGTGCCTGGGAGACCGCCGTCAAAAGTTCTGGTCCGATCTCCCTAACACACCGTTCCACCACACCGTTCCCCCTCTCCTCCTCCTCCTCCCGCCCATCCTCCTTCTCCACCCCATCCTTCTCCTCCTCTTCCTCATCCTCCCTCTCCTCCCCACCTCGTCCTCCTCTCCCACTATCAGTTTCCTCATCCCGCTCATGTTCTTCATCCCTCTCCTCCCCGTTCTCCTTCTCCTCCTCATCCTTCCCCTCCTCCTCCTCCTCCTCCTCCTCTTCCTCCTCTTCCTCCTCCTCCTCCTCCTCCTCCTCATCCTCCTCCTCCTCCTCCCATCTCATTGTCCTTCATCCTACTTCTCATTATCCGCCCTCTTTTTATGTCTCCTCCTCCTCTTCCTCCTCCTCCTCTTCCTCCTCCTCGTCCTCCTCCATCCATGCCCCCCGATCTTCCAGTCCCTCCCCCACCATCCCCCCCTTCCTCCTCCTCCATCTTCCCCGTCAAGTCGTGCACCGAAATAGGCGTGGGAACTCCCTGCGGGGCACGATCCTCGTGGGAGGTGCGCCGAGGTGGGAGGTGCGCCGAGATGGAGATGCGGAGAGCAGCGGCACGATAGGGACGGAGAGGGGGAGGGAAAGAAGAGACTGGAGAAAACAAAAACCAAAGAACACTGGAAACTGGGGAAAAAATTAGAAGGAAGTTGAAGAGGGAGGGAGGAAGAGGAAGGGGGAGGGGGGAGGTGAGAAGAAGCTCGGCGCAGCGGAGCGAAAAAAAGGACCCGGCATCACTGGAGGGCTGGGGACAAATCTGCGCATCTCCTCAGAAGCTGCAGAAAACACTTCGGAAAACTGCACAAGCTGCAAACCTCCGAAGGACCATCCGACTTGCGGGCGCTGGAGCCGTCAACCCCAGCCTCAGGGCGGGTTTCTCGTAACGGGCCGTCTTTTGCGAGTCCCTGGGCCTGGGGGGGCGGCCCACTGAAGCCCCAATCGTAAGAGAAACGTGCGCGCATTGTGTTTTTCCTCGACGCCCGTGAGTCTGGGTCTGGGGTCGAAATTCGGGCCCTTGACCTGGCCCAGGGCGCAGTTGACTAGACTTCCAAGTGGAATCAGGCCGTGGCGACGAGAAGCCGTCTGGGAGGCAATCCGTGGCTTCGACCGATGGGCGCAGCGATCGCCCCCCGAGCGCCACATCGCGTACGAGTGCGCGGTGTACTCCGTCGAGTTCCGCTGCAGCGCGGCGGCCGTGTGCACGCGGCCGGGGTCGAAGAGCACAACCCTGGTAGGCACAGAGGGGCCTCCCGCCATCCAGGAAGAGCGGGAGCAGCAACGACGACGACGACGACAAGGAGAACAACGGAGGTGAGTACGTAGGACGAAGACGACGAGAGGAAGGGGGACGAGGCGTGGGAGAAGGAGGGTACTAGCACCAGGGAGGGAAGGAAGATAGGGGGAGGAGGGGAGTGGGATGATGGGGGAGGAGGGGGAGAGGAGGAAGTCTTCCTACTCTCCTAGCCCTTCCCCACGATCTGCGGATAAACTCCGACCTGGGTGCGTCTGGCTTCGAGCCCTTCTGTAGCCAGCGTCGCAGCCCGCGCGAGAAGCACACGTTCGCGAGCTTGCTGTCGTAGTAGGCCTTGTAGGCCTCCTCGAAGTCCTACGGTCGGGGTAGGCGGGCCGTCCCGCCAAATGTCCAGGTCACCAAGCTTCCTGATCCACGCTGCGCCGAAGCGCCGGTCACGGCTGTATTCGCGCTCTCGCGCCGTCCCCTGGAGAAGAGCGACTCTCAGGCCAGTAACGCATTGCGCGCGACATTATCTTCGCGTCTGGGAGTTCACCAGTGTTTCCGCAGGCTTTTGGAGGGGGCCCCCTTGTTCACCTCCCCGGCGTCCCCAAGGAGGCACATGCCAAGTTCTCCAAGGAAAGGTGCCAGATCCCAACAGCAATGATACTACATAGTCCAACCACCGAAATTCCACGTCGTGTTCCCGAAAACCACCCCCTTCTCGCATCTCTCCCATGTCCCCTCCTCCTCCTCCTCCTCCTCCTCCTCCTCCTCCTCCTCGTCCTTCGCTTCACCCCTCCTTTTCAATGTACACCCACGGGCCCAAAGTCCTCCTCCCACTTGATGCGCGCGGTGGCGCCCTGGAAAAGTCGTTCAAAGTCCCCGTGCCAGGCACCGCTACCCGTCAGGACCACCACGGTCGCCTTCGGCGCCAGGGTGTTGGCGAGCTCCGTGGCCAGCAGGAAATGCCCTGGTAGAATGATGACCGAAAGACATCGGAAGGCTTCCCGGGCGTCATCCTGGCTTTTCCCGAGAAGCGTCCAGTCGCGGCGACGAGAGGACCTCCGGAACGACCACTTCGACGGCGACACCGACGGCTCCGTCGTCGGGAGTCTCCCCCGCCTAGGTGGTTGGCGGCCATAACGAAGTCGTGCCCGCTCTTGGCCTCGTAGGACAGGCCCGGGCGCTGCGCAGTCCGCGCGCCCCGCTTGCCAGCCTCGCCCGAGTACATGGCGGCCGCGTTGAGCACCAGGGCGTTCAAGCCGCGGACCTCGCACTTGTTTCGAGGCTCTCAGGAGGTGTCCAAAGTGTTTCGCGTGTGCCCAGAGGTTCTCAGGAGGTTCTCGGTCATTATCGGAAGCTCTCTCGGAGGCTCTGTCGTAAGCATCTATGTTTGGAAGTTGTCCTCGGACACTCCTGGAGGCTGGCTCTCGGAGGCTCTCGGAGATGTCTTGAGGGTTCTCTGAGGTTCTTGGACATTCCTGGGTGCTCGAGAGAGGGAATAATTCAAAAGCACATTCTCTCCCCAGGCCCGTCTTGGGGGCAAGTTCTGCTGCATTTGTGACATCCCAGTCTGGATATTTGCCCGCAGAGATGTGGGAGGCTTGGTGGTGAGACTTCCCCTCGCCAAGACCCCCAATAGGGCTAGGTTTGGAAAGGGCGCCTCCTCGACGGCACAGAATTCCTGGCTGGACCTGACAGCCCAATCCTCGTTCAGTCTGGTGGCGGATGCCATCCTTCAACATTGAACATGATATAAAGGGAATAGGAAAAGCGCATGCGTACGTAAACAGAAAACTTTTAATGTCCACGTATTCTTCGCCGCCAGCGCCAGACCCCTCTCCACACCCTTTCCTGGCGCGCGAAGTGGGGGAGTGCGGGAAAGAGGTCCAGCGCCAGCGAGGGAACCCCCCACGGACCTTAATACCAGGTGTACATGCCGCGTGCTCTTCTTGCCTCCGATTCCCATGACAGGGCCGCGAATGAGGACCCTGGTGAGCGATAATGATTATAATAGACTCCCAGCCTGGCCCAGAGACGAGACGCACCAGGATACTGGTGCACTCCTCTTTTTGCCCCCCCCCCAAAGGGGCCGCGAACGAGGATCTCATGTCGTCCGCGAGCCGGCGCACCGCGTCGAAGTCGCTCAGGTCGGCGAACACTGGCAAGGCCGAGCCCTGCCCGTCGCCGGACCCCGCAGCGCGCAGCACCCGCTCGGCGGCATGCCGCGTCCTGTTCTCGCTCGGTCCGTGCATCACGACGTCCGCACCTGGCGCCCCCAGAGACCCTCTCGTGCAGCGAAACAAAGTACAGGTGGGGAGGTGTTGGGCCATGGTCGGCCTCTGGGGGGCCCTGACCAGGCCCTGGCACCACCACGTGAAAGACTCGGGAAAAAGAGCCGGCCCTGGGTAAGGGGCCCAAGACCTTCGGGGTTTCATTCACGCTGCGAAGAAATCACGACGTCGGGGCTCGTCCGAAACGCCAGAGTATAGACTGCTCGGTCGCTCCTCGTAGATCACGGCGCAGACGAAGCCAAACAAGTGCTCCGTATCGCAAAATGCCTTCTCGCAACATGTCGTACGGAAACACTGTGACTGTACGGCTGCCTATATGCTCCTGCAATTCCGCTGCCTTTTCCTCATCCGCTTCCATCTTCCCCCGCTTCTCTACTGCGCCTTCGCCTTCTCCTCATATGCACCCCGAGTGAAAGAGGGACGAACGCAGCGGCATGGGTAGGCTCTGAGCCCCGGACCTAATATGTAGAAGTATCTCGCCGCCTCGAACCCCATGCCAGACGAGCTGCCAGTTATCATAACGCTAAAGCCCTGCAAGCTCCCTGGGAAGTCGACACCATTTCCGACCTTGAGCTTGTTCTTCTCGTAGACCGCCTATATGATCAAAACTCAGCTCCTGCATCATAACATGCTCATGCCCCGCCTCTCTGTCCTTGATCCTCCCTCCAACCTCCCCCTTGCCACCTTCTGCCTTCGTCATCCAGACCTCCTCTTCCTCCTCCTCCTCCTCCTCCTCCTTCCTCCAGCCCTCCTCCTCCTCCTCCTTCCTCCAGCCCTCCTCCTCCTCCTCATCATCATACTCCTGTCCCTCGTCCTCGTCCTCCTCCTCCTCAACCTCCTCTTCCTCCTCTCTCCTCCTCCCTCCTCCTCCTCCTCCTCCTCCTCCTCTCCTCCCTCCCTCCTCTTCCTCCTCCTCCTCCTCCTCCTCAGACTCATCTTCCTCCTCCTCCTCATCCTCCTCATCCTCCTCCTCCTCAACCTCCTCTTCTTCCTCCTCCTCCTCCTCCTCCTCCTCCTCCTCCTCCTCCCAGCAGAGCCAGGTCACGAAGGGCGCCACGGGGAGCTCGAGTGCCTGGAGGACGCAGGAGTGGAGCAAGGACGACTGGAAGGACCAGACGAGCTGGAATGGGCGCTAGACGGGCGGGCTGGGGGCCCGACGACCATCCAGGCCATTTCCCAGGAGAAGGAGATTCACTACGAGGTCAACCACGGTGACGGCGAGGGCGACGACCTCGCAGCAGCCAGCGCCGAACTGGAGCTAGACATGATGTTCGACGCGCTGAAAGGCCAGGCGCAGCCGAGGGCCCTTGGTCACAGAGGAGCAGGAAGAGCCCGACGTGATCGATCGGGTCCCGCTGACTGGGCAGAAGAAGCTTGCAGGCGACAGTGGCCATCAGCACGGGCCCGAGACCGAGGCATTGAAGGCCGATGCGGCCTCTGGAGCGGCTTGAAGTCCTGGTAGAGGTCACGCCAGTCGCCACGGACAGCGGCCACGCGAAGGCGGATAGGAAAAACAACAAACGCAACGATCGCCGGCACAAGGCGCCAGCGGGTGGCTGCCACCGCGGTTACGACAGCGGCAGGAAGGAGCTCGAGGAGACCAGCGAAGCGCCCATCGAGAGCTTCAGGAGGAGTCCGAGGATCGGATGCAGGAGCTATGCAGCAAGTCGCGGGGGGAGCTCATGAGTGTGGACGGGTTCAGGGATGCGCTCGTGCAGTCGAAAACAAGCTGGTAAGCTTAGGTATGTGTTACGCTTTAAGCGTTGCCATATCCCAGGCTTTGGCTCATATCGCATGAGCAAGAGAGCAAGACGAAGCATGGGATCTGGAGTAAAGGATAGGATGGGCAGCGTCAATGGAAAAGGTACTTTCCGATCTCTGATGCAAGTCGTGCGCCTCGGTGAGGCACAATCACATATTTGGCCGGGCCCGGCTTGAGCCAGGCACGGCAGCGGTACATGCTCGATTTATACCTCGCCTTTAACCTTCTCCGTTTAAAGTCGGAGGGGGAGGAGACGAGCAGGCACCGCACTTCTACATTATGCGGAAAAACAGTGCTAAGCAGCAGCGGCTGCCTACAAGGAAAGGGCGCGCGAGTAGCCTCGCTACCGGCGAGTTTCCTCGCTATTAAAGCGCACCTGCCCGCGGGTTTCCCCGCTAGCTCGGGAGGCAGGGCCGTCCTGAGACGACCTGCCCGCCCTATACGGTGTATGTTTCTTCAGCTCGTGCTTGAAGGATTGCTGGCCGGCCATTACTTGTAGGAGCAACGCGCGGTCAATACTACCTTTGGTATGACCATCGGCAGTCATATCCCGCGTGTCACACCATTGAACGCTTTCAACGATTCCGCGCTCCATCATCTGGCGGATCCAGCTAATGTGCCCAAGCAGAGTACATTCTGTGGGCTTCTTCAGATCTTTGCTAGACAAAGACTTGAAGACAGACTCGGCATCAATAGTCAGAGTGACTTTGATACATAGACCACCCATTTCCAATATGTTCTTTAACTGTGTGGGGGTCAATGGTCCCGAGTGTAGCTCGTGGAGCGTTACAATGGTCGGGTAGCAGTCTTCCAAGTTGTGGGCTGCTGCCAGTGTTTCCGCAGAGTAGCTCGAACGCACCTGCAGTCGATGAGACTTGCAGTATGCGTCCACCAGGTGCACGACGGGTTTCCCCGCTTGCGTGTGGCCACGCCTCAGCAGGTTAGCCCCGCGGATACCATAGCCTTTGACTTCGTCGTCTTCATCTCCGTTGAGACGACGATAGCCAGAATCGCTATGCAGGTCGACTTCTCCTGTTGGGGTCATAGCTTGATACACGATCTTCTTCGGACCTGCCTGTAGTTTTCTGGTAACCGCGTTTAGTCGTCGTACCTGGATGTTTGTCGGTTCCTGGATACGTTGTAGTGAGACAACATAGACCATCAGCCATACCTGCGTGATCAACGCATAGGCTAGAGCGCCACGAAGACTGACGAACATATCAGAAATCGTCTTTGTCGCTTTGCTCTCAGGATCAGCTCCTGTGAGTTCTGGATGTGTGATAGGACGAAGCTGTTTGATGTATTCGTCCTGATCAAGAGTGACGCTCCCATCATCGGTCTTGTTATACCGAACGGCACAATTTGTGTATGTGTGCTTGTTCAGTTTGCACTTCCCAAACGTATCTTCAACACACTTGACATACTTGTCAATAGCCTCTTCCTTCCCAGTCATATTGATGTCATCAACGTGCTTGGCTGTCAAGAGGTTTGAGCTCATCTCGAACTCTTCGTCGTATGAAGTAGGCTGTAGCCCAAAGCTCCTAGTGATGGACCTGAGCTTCAGCGAGAATGCCCTGGGAGCATCCTTCGTGCCCGTCCCCGGCTTCAGACACCGAAGACAATGCTTTGATTCGTCATATGACTCAAAGCCTGGCAGCGTGCGAAGGACAGCTGCTGACCCAGGTGGTAGTGTGAAGCACACCACACGCTCTTTCTCGCCCGTTGCCGCGGCGAGCTCGCCATAGGTCAGTCCCTTCAAGAAAGCCATGTTGATGTCCAGGGAAGCGATGATCCAAGCTTTGTTGCATGCAGCAGAACTTGCGAGCAGTCTCTGGCTTGACCTCCTTGCCGCGCCAGAGAAGGCTTCGACATCAAAGGCTTCAAGGTCCATAAAGCCACGGAGTACCAAGCGTAACCTGATCGTCCTTTCCATTTCGCCCTTTTCGTTCTTGACAAACTTCCATTTGTATACGTAGCGTGACGTCATGATGTTAGACGCTTTGCTCAAGTCAGTCATCTGGAAGCATTTGTTGTCAAGCCAAGTCTTCAATTCTGTGTAAAGGGCTTTGGAAACTTTGACCGGATTTGCTTGGATGTCGGCCTTCGTGAGTAGATCGTCTTCCTTGACGACCACGGCACGTTTGGAAGCAGCACTAACGTATACTCGCATAGTTGTGACGCTGCTGTCATCCAACAATCGGTGTTGCTGCTCGGACAGGACGACTTTGGACATGTCTGCTGTGAAGCAGAGCTCGATGTACTTCCCGTGCTCATCGGAGTCCAGATCATATTTACTGTCCGGATCCGTGGAGCATAAGGGAACGTAGTAAGAAGTGTCCATGTCGTATCCTGGCGGGTGACCCCGCTCCGGCAAGTGGCCTTGCACATCTTCACAGGTCGTAGAGACTAACACACACTGTGTGTCTGTCATGTATGTGGGAACTGTATGCATGACTTCCTCTGTGTCAGCTTCAAGGAGTGTTCTGTCATCCATCAGTTCAGCATACCACGACTTCAAGACAAAAGCATCCAGATCTTCTTCTGTTTCCTCTATGATGGTCGGGAGCCGACCATCGTTATCCGTAGGAGGCTCCTCAGGAGCAGCTGCTGGAGGTGACTCGCTTGGTGGTGGACCATCAGCGAGTTCCTCAAACTTAGTGAGGTCTCGGTCAAATCCAGCAGACGGCTTCCTGGATTTAAGACACTGGATGATGCGTGAGTGTGTAGATCCTGTGATGTCATAGATGTTCAAGGCAGTGCCATCAGCTTCATAGTAATGAAAACCAGGGGTCACATCATTATCATAGTGCACTAGTGTACAGCTGTCTGCATAGGGTGCAGCAGGCAACTTCGTCAGGCTCTTGGCAAGTCGTACAGCAACAACGTTTTCAATACGAAAGTAGTTGCGTATGAGGTACTGAAGAGCCAAGTGCACCTTAGGCGAAAGTCGGCTCGCAGCAGTCATCTGCAGCCGACCCTGTTTCGCTGGTAGATATCCGAAAGTCATGGCGGGTTTCCCCGCTGGCAGACCGGCAATAAAGGCCAATACTGTCCGAAGGGCCGTATTGTCCGATCCTATCTCGCGGACCATAAGTGCTTCGATGTACAGCGTGTGTCGTGTGTCAGGATACTGTACTCGCACCTCGCGACTGCCGACCTTCACGATGACCTGGCCTCGGTCAGGTTCGTTGCGGATGACCGGGTATGGACCACTCCATCCACCCCAGTCGTCTTTCGTGGTGGTCGGGCGATGATAGTCCACGAGATCTCCCTCTTTGTAGTGAAATTCACCCGTAGCAGTAGTCTTCGTACGGAGAGCCCTGTTCGTCTTGGCAACCGCAGTGGCCTGCGTGATTGCCTCCAGACTAACCCTCCTGATTGTTTCCTCCCTTGAGTGATCTGATGATTCAGCGGACTGATCATGATCCAAGACAGGGAAATCGGGAAGCATAGCTGGTTGTCTGCCATACAGCGCATTGTACGGAGACACTTCATTGTAGAAGGTAAATGCGTTGCTGGCAAACAAGGCTTCATGTAAGAGACGAGTGAAATTGAGAGGAATATTTAATCTATTCAATTCTTCTCCCATCACGTGTAAGAGGTGTCGCAGGATGCCGTTCCTAGCTTCGATAGTTGTGGCGTGTTGGCCACGCGCTCGGATACGAAGCTCTGTTCCCTTAGCCTTAAGGATGGCCTTTGCTGTATCATTATTCAGTGCTCCTTCCCCATCGGAGTATAAGATTTTAGCAGGGCCATGTTGCATCCAAGTCGTATGATAGGCATCGAGAACAGTATGCATGGCTTTATCAGGAATCTCTGTGCCAGCTGCCCA